CACACACACACACACACACACACACACACACACACACACACACACACCTACACACACAGACACATTAACCCACACTTCCACATTTATGGAAGCTGGCTTTTTGCTTGTTTTCAGTGTCTGGAAGAACAGGTTGATTCTCTAAGTTCTTTTGAAAAACAAAAAACAAAACACAACATTAATCACTTGACTCTTTTCCCCCCTGTCCATCGGGATTTCTTTTCCAAAGAAAAAGTTATTTTTTTTGGGGAGGGGGGGGGACACTTGCCCTAATGGACCAGCGATAAATGTTCATATCCTTTTTTTTTGTTGAAGAACTTCAATCGGGGTTACAGCACATCACCCACAGCACGCACATACAACGAAGGGTTCCCGCCAAGGGAGAATGCCAGAGAAAGAGTGAAAAAGATCAAACATGAGCAGAGTGACAAGAGTCCAATTCCAGTCCATTTTCATTTTAAATATAGCCCATCACTCTTCCATTGTTTCGGTTTTCCTGGTTTTTCAGGCATTGAGAAGTATGGAGAAGTCGTGACAGTAAGAAGACTTGAACGAAGGGGCGAAGAGCAGAGTGGAAGATTCCTCACTGCGACACCAGATGAAGGTGGCAAATGGGTCGCACAGCTCAGGTGCATGTTTGAATGAAGCCCGTCTTGCCGCCACAAAGGATGGTTGGAATATTAGTTTGATCCATTTTTGGTTGACAGTTTGTATTCATGGGTGGCAAGAGGTGCTGCTCTGATGTTAAACACAGTGGAGTGGAGGAAAGACTGAGAAGTAAAAAAAAAAAAAAAAAATCGAATTGAAGGGGTCACAGGGAGGAGGTGAGTGAAGACATGAAAGACATTTTTAAGTTCAGACAAAGAGATGAGACGGGGGGGGTCAGGTGGGAATTGGAACTTGACGAGGGTGAAATTTAGGGATGGTGTCACGAGGACTGAGGGCGGAGGATATCAAAGAAGCCTGAGAACAAAGGGATGACACACATTTCCTGCAGCCCAAGACTGCAGTTAAAGGTTGGGGGGGGGGTATGTGCTGAGGGCAGGGGCTGAGAGGCTGATGCTGAATTCTGAGGGGGAAAACTCTGCAGGCAGGTTGGTTGCTGGGTCCCTCAGGCCTTAAGAGCATGCCACTGAGACACAGGATTACGAGGACGACCCATCATGTCTTTCCAGTGTTTTACCTCTGCAGGGCCGCTCTTCCATGAAAGATAAATCTGTGAGAAAGAGAGAGTCAATGTAACCCAAGTACATAGATTGATGTTATTTGTAAAGAGCTTCCCTCTCTAAAAAAAATACAGTGAAGTATTAAGTAAAAAAGCATCACTGTGCGTCTTAAGTCTAGCCCTGCTTTCACCACTAAGCCTGCCACTCTAATCGGAATTTAACTCAAATCCCGGGCAGAAAAAGAGCCATTACAGGAAGAGATTTCACTCGCTGAAATACTCAGAGAAAGGCTAATGCTGCTGCTAATGAAGATCAAAGGCTGAGTCTTTAAGTAATTCTCATAGACAGAAACTCCTGATCTGTACATGTCGCAGGAAATGCTGTTCAAGTTTTCAGTGCCCTCCGACCATTTGCACGTTATTTATGACTGTGGTCATAATAGGCAACCTATTATTACTGCTGTGTGTAGGCAGATAATATATGTAGTTTGATGGCAATTACTGTAGATGCACATGTGTATGAATGACAGAGAGCACAGTGGCTCATCCATGCAGTACACAGCTCAGATATGTTATTACAGTGTCTGAAAGAATAAGGATTTGAGTTGAGTTTTGGGTTCTTTCCAATAATTTAGACAGAAATTATACATTTATGATTTGTGTTAGAGCTCTATTCTCCAGTTAAGTTAAATACTGATATGAATGAGTGTGGAAATTCCTAATAATTTCCTAAGAAGCTTCCTGAAAAGAACAATGTCTTTTGGCAATAATTATAGCTGAATAGAGAGAGTTAAATTGGTACACTTTCAATTAATTAATTCCAATTAATTGCTGAGCAAGCATAGCATAGACTCTCTCAGTCAGTAAACAGCAGGTCAGCTGAACTTGGAAGAATGCCTACCAGTAACCATACAGTTGAGCATATATGAAGGATTAAGTTTCCGATGATGAACGAGTCATTAATGAATATTTAAAACAGAGCAGTTCTTTCTGTGGAATTCTTCCGAAAAAGCAAGTAACTAACTACCGGACCAAAACCATCTAAACTCAATGTTCTCCATAACTAGCACAAGGAAACATTCTGACAATTTTTTGGGAAATAAAAGACCTTATCCAGCCAATGACAAAACAACAACACACCTATATTGTTAACCCTGCAACCTACACATTCACAGGTTCATTCTTAATCTTGGTGTGTGCAACAGGTCCTTGATAAGTTTGAACTAGCAGATTTTCTCTTCAGGGCAATCAATCTGTTTTTCTCAGAGGCGAGCATACAAATTGCAGATGAATTATAACTGAAATGTTGAAGCAACAAATCCCATATATATACTGTACCATAAAACCAATAATACCATGTTCCTTATATTCAAATCAAAAGGCACATTACAGTTATAGTTGGGGGAATTTGGACACACCTTCTACATCTAGTGAAAATGCAAAACGTACGTTTTAAGGAGTGACTGTATTTACATATAAGAGCATGGACCTCATTTACATGCATGTCATGCTTATTTGTTGTTGGTGGAAGACTAAATGAAAACTGGTAAACATTCAAAATGAAGTGTTTTTATTAATTTAAGACGCACAAGATGGGTCTGCGTGTTCCAGCAGGGGTCAGTAGAGACTGGCTCAGTGATCAGCCGCTGATGGTCACAGAGTCAGGAGAACACAGAGGAAGAGAAGAAGAAGAAGAAGAAGAAGAAGAAGAAGAAGAAGAAGAAGAAGAAGAAGAAGAAGAAGAAGAAGAAGAAGAAGAAGAAGAAAGAAGTGAAGAAGAGAGAAGGAGATACCTTTCCAATGACATCATTGCGACTGAGCCTGTCCTTGTCCATGACGGTGATAATTATGGTGGTCTCCCTCAGCACGTGTGCAGGCACGTCAAAGGGGAAGGACTCTTCGAAAACAGGGTTCAGGCAGCGCTTCATCACCACCGTCTTCTTCTTCTCCACACGCTTGTCCTTGTGCATCAACCACACTTTTACATAGGGGTCTGAGGAGAGGGAATGTGCCAGTTTGTTTACAATATCTCATTCCTGTTTCACCATAGTTGAATGCCATGTTAGTTTATGTGCTGTCATGGATTTGATATCAAATAACACAATTTTCTGATTGTCATTTTGAAGCAGCGATGATGTAGAAGGAAAAAAATAAAAGGACACGGGAGATGAAGGAGTATCTATACCAGAAGTGCCTCCAATGTCCATGGCTTTGAGGTTGCGGGCTTTGATGATGTTCACAGTGATGGTGTTGGCTGTGGGGTTGTAGCACAGAGACACCAGCAGATCCCCTCGACTCCCCTGGAGAAATAACACACAACAACAGCGAATCGTTTACATTTTCATCCTCTTTTCACATTGTTGTCCCTTCTGTTGCTCACTGTGTATTTTGGTTTCTTCCTCTGGCTGTCTGTGTTGTCTCCATCTACCTGTCAGCGTCTCCATATTCCCTTCTTTCTTCCACCAGCACGCTGCCACATTTCCCCTGAGAGCATCCCGGCAGCCAGTAAATGACATCACCCGTTACATTCTGTCCCATCCTCTCTCTCCCCTCCTCCCTCTCCTCCCTGTTCTCCCCCCCCCTCTCTTTTCCATCTTACTCACGCTGCCATCGCTACATGGTTGAAGCTCCTTCCAGAAAGTCTGCATGTTAGCCAGGTCCAGTTTGTTGAGGGGGACGGACACCTCTCCTATGGGGTCATTCCTGCTGAAGCGGTCGTAGTCGAGAACCTGCAGGTATAGAGTTCTCTGGACCACCTTGTCATAGGGGAACCCTGAGAAACAACACAGTCCTAATAAGTCACAGTGATGCACATACAAAAGAGACAGCTAGAGAGTGCCTGCATGTGCTATGAATTGTTAAGTTCATGTATTATGTATGTATTAGGAAAGCTTTCTCTGTCAAACCTTCAAACAGGAAGGTCTCATTCCAGTGGGGGTTCAGATTCTTCCTCTTTACTTTGGTCTCCAGCTTGTGCTTCTTGTCTGGCAGCAGGTAGAGTTTGACAAACGGATCAGAGGTGCCGGAAAAGTCCTTAGCAGGCAAATCCTGGCCTTTGAGAATCTTGACAGTAAGGGTGGAGTCCTGAAAACTGTATCCAACACTGAACTGAACACGACCCAGCTTCTCACACACTTGACCCTCATGGTCATCTTCCTCCGAACCCGGAGACAACTAAAGAAGACAAGAGGTAGAGGAGATGAATGTGATGTTGTGTTTTTATTCAACTTCAGGTGGTTGATACCTTTTAGCTACATGAAGCAGTATTTACTGGTTTATTACTGGTGCATTACTCTATTTTGAAACAAGTTACTACAAGATATAAATGTAGGGCTGCTCATAAGATATGCACATTCAATTTTCAGGAGCACTTATATCCTCAGAGGAGGAAAATGATCCTTTCTTACAAAGAACATCTCCCTGAGATTCATTACAAGGTAAGACCAAATCATTTAATTTGAGAGTAGTTTGCTCTTAAGATGACAAATAATATTTAATCAGGAAGTAAACCAGGAGAGAAACACTCCCCAGTTTATTGATTATCTTCTATGATATAAAACATTAAACACACCTCTCAATATAACACTGTGTAATCAACAGCATCAAAATGATGATGATTCTTAAGTGTCTGAAACATCAATTTACTGCTCACTATAGAGTGAACTACTAAGTGTCTACAGTAGGTATAATAATGAGAAGTGAATGAGTAAATGAGGGAGTGATTTGGCATACAGTAAGGAAAGTATAACATCTACTGTTCAATAGCAAATGAACAAACCCAATTTCTTCACGAGGGCCTCTAAAATAATTAACAGACACTTTTATAGCTTCATGAGGAGGATTTATTGCAGGTTTGATGTATTCATCTGTGTTAGTTTTAACCAGGTGTAACTAATGAACTAACAGTGGAGTGTATAAGTGTATACAAAGTGTAACACCATGGGAATTGCCCCTCTATCACCAGACCGCTGGGTCAAACTCAGCCATATTCACAACATGTTCACGAACAGATGAAACACTCCGGGGACACTAATTCTGCACTTCAACATTAAAAAGCCAGCTCCCAACTGGCTAACTAGCATCATGTTTTGTCACATGGCTGCTTTCTACTGTGTGATAAAGGCAGAAATTGTCCATGGCTGTGTGGAGATGAGAGGCAGATTATCTATTGGTAGACAGACCCTCTGACTGATGATGGCTTGGCCTGGAGGGAGGGAGAGAAATCCAGTTTAAAACGTGCTATCTGATGAGGGAAGAGCTAGAGGCATTACTCAAGGAGCAGTTCCAGAAATTTCATATCCAATTTTGTATTCTCCCACATATTTCTAATGGTGCTGCTCAGCCCCTTATTCTCCATGCTGCATATGATCACTTTTCATTATGCAGTCCTCCACCCAACAGCTGGCCTAAATTGCTTTTCCCCATTTTCCATGTTGGGCTCTTTTTCTCTTTTTTACCCAGAGTCCCCCCTTCTCTTTCAATTCTTCAATTCTCCTCTCTAATTTCTTTTTCTGAAACCCAAACATCCCACGTGAAGTAGATGACAAATATTGTCTATCTTGCAAAAATCCAAATCCAAATCCAAAAATCCAAAAACTGCAAAAATTAGCCACATGTTGAATTGTCTGACATTTGCCTCCATAACAAGAAACATGGGTTGTAGCACTGTAGTTTATTTTGAGTCAAGCCCACATACGCTGTCCTGCTGCTGCAAATACTATACAAATACTTGATACTTGTATCAATCAGCTGCTGAAAATAGTCGCCAAGAAAAACATCGACTATTGTTTGAGTAACATTTGTAAAAGCTCCAGTGCCCTGCTGTTTTAGGAACCTATTTAGTCTTTTTAAAACATGAAATATATATTCGTGACTAACTTCTAAAGATTTTCGTTTCCTGAATGAATGTGCTTGGTGCTGAGTGCCACAGATACTGAAAACAGATACTGAAAACTGGGGAAGTCAGAAAGTATTGAGGGACAGATTAATGCATTGCTGGTTTTGGTCTTTTTATGGGCTTTGTTGACAAATCCCAAATGAAAAAGCTAGACTATCTCCAGCCTCATCCTTTGAACAAATAAAGCACATAAAAACCTCTGCAAATGTTTGGATGTGTGTTGACACAGAGGCAAAGATACGTTCACACCACACTGTCACTGGGCCTGAGAGCGCATCAAAAAATGAAAGCAGCGTCAGAGTACATCATGATAAGAACCATGCGATGCTGACAGGACCCCCACCCATCCTCCCCAACCCCTATCACATGAGATGCTTGAGGGGGTTGGACGTATACTCTAACGTTTAATGCCGTCTTTTTGCATCCCTTTCTCCTCAGTTATAGTTTGTCAAATATAAACGGTATATACTGCCACTGTTTCTATAGCAGCACAAGTGGCTCAAAAGTGCAGGATGGGTATTTTCAGCATGAAAGGACGGTTGTGTAATGTATAGACGCCTTTGGCAATACTGCCCAGAATGAGTATTATCATTAAGCACCGCCACTGTGAATTTGTCAGACACACCACGAGACCCACATAATTACACACTGCTCATACCCATCGCTGCCATATTCTCGCAGCACCCACAGCACTGCGTGTTCTTTCACAGCTAATTACCGAACCCCGCTGAAAAGGGAGCACGTCCCCTCCCCTCCCAGGGTCTCACTGCCGGGTGATGAGTACTGTATGTTTCAGTGAGATGAGATACTGTATGGCAATAACTAGCAGCGGTGCTCTACATGTGGGTGAGCTGAGTGGGATGAAGACATTGCTTTCTGAGTGATGAAAGACTTGCGAGGAGGAAACACTTCTCACAGGACTTTGCTGAATCGAACTGAAGTGTGTAGGCTTTCTTTTCTTGCTTTCTTCTCCAGAACAGACACGGTGTATTATTTACAGTAGGTGGCGGACAAATAAATGTAAACACCTCATGCAGAAACATTTTTTAAGGATGATTATGGTTTATTGAAACTTATTTTTGTAGCATTGTCCATCATTTAAATTACACACTGCACTCACCAAAGTAACTACTGTGATCTGGCGGGCAAAGTTAAACCAGGAGGTCATTAAGTAAATAGTGATGTTCACAATGGACAGTTTTGGCAAACCTTGGTATTGGCTCGGATTCTTGAGTTTTCTCACCCCAGCGGACATCTCTTTAGCAGTGCTGCTATGTTCATAAATCACAGCAATTAATTTGAGAAGTAAAATATATGATCACTGACAGAAATGACGGCCAAAACTACAGAAAATAGACCAGAGTTGTAAGACAGTGGACTTGTAACACTGAACTCTGGCTTAATCACATATTGTTTGAGAGAGCTCATAAAGAATATGAACATAAATCTTATTAAAAATACCAAAATATACCATAACAGGAGAAGCTAAGCTGCTGCAAGTTAAAAACAAAGCCGATGGACATAAAAATGTATTGCTAAATGTCCCATAAGCTAATATAACCTGCATTTATTACATTGTTCACAATGGCGATTTATTTGTATTAAGTCACATTTTTAGTGTTTTATATTATTTTGTATACACCCCTGATTCATCGTCCACTTCCTTGTCTCAAGGCCTGAATATAACTTTCATCTTAGATTAAGAAAGATGATCATGAAGCACCACTCAAGTCTCTCAGCTGTCTAATTTATTAAGACTTAAAAGGCTTTGCTGACAACAGTCCCCATCGTCTTAATATAGATGAGGTCGGCAATGCAGAAAACACATCACGAATGAGTTACTGGTGAATCAATAAAACGTATCTCATGGGGCTTCAGATATACTGTGTTGATATTGTGTGTTACCATGAGCTGGTCACTGGTGACGGAGTTGGCCAAGTCAGAAACAGAGGAGTTGGCATCGTGGCGGCGTCCGCTCTCGTCTGGGGTCTGACCTCTGGGGCTGCTGCCTGGTTTGTTACCCGGAGTCCTGTTAACATAGACACGAACACACACATAATTACATAAACATGCTAATAATCAGGGGTCTTTTCCTGTTGCATAATTACATTTCTTCTGTAAACAACAAGGAGTCCATAAAGAAATGTTTTCCCCAGGTTTGGTGTGGGAGAACTTGACCTCGAGCCCATCCAACACCAATTGTGATCCAGGTGTAATGGCCCAACATCAGTACCGGTCCTCTCTAACACTCTTGTGGCTGAATAGAAGCAACAAGGTTCCAAAATGTTGAGGAAGCCTTTGCAAGAAAATCTGCTGAGCAGAATGCAGAATTCAGGAAAATAAAATAGAAAACATGAAATCTGAAAAAAATAAAAACAGATTTCATAGTCTCCTGGAAACTGCTGTTTTCCCACTTTTCCCAGTCTTTATGCTAAGCTACTCTAAAAGGGCAGCTGCAGTAGCGTCTGTCTCTCAAGGGGTAAGAGGCTGTGGTCAGCCGTACTGTGGACTGCAAAAGTGTTCAAGAAACAATGTCTTGCTGAATTAATATAATTAAAATGAAACTACCATCCATCACCACTTGTCACTTCACATACAGGCCATCAACCAAAACCAAATTTACAGTACAAGACCTGTAAAAATAAACAACAATACATCTGACTGATAATCCTTGAAAAATAAATTTAGAAAAAAAAGAAAATACTAAAATCAGTGAAGGGTAAACATGACTCCTGGCTCATATTATGTAACAATTTGGTAAAAAGGGAAAATACAAAGTCTACCAGTCTAGGCATATTGACGAATAAGACTAATGGGCACTTATCTCTGTGAGAGAGACGACCCAGAAAGAACAAACAGAAAGAGTCAGAGAGACAGAGATACTGAGCGATGGAGCAGGTGAGCTGTATAACACAAAGGTAAAAGCAGAAGTGAGATTAGAAGACACTATTGTGGGAAATATGATCTGAGAATAAAAGATGCATTTGAAGACTTATCTCTGCACAGAGGTTGAAAAAAAGTGAAGGAGAGGATTTGCGATTGTTAAGATTCAGAGGATTAATAGAACGAACAAAGGGAGGTTACGGACACATTATTGTGAGACACACAATAACTCACACAAGATGAGAGAGAAATCAAAGAAAGGAAGCAAAAAAGATCTGATTTGGGTAAAGAGTCAGATGCACTAAAGTAGAGGAAAGGAAGCAAACTGACACGTTACATGAGCAAGAAAAATGGAAGGAGGCTGGATGTGAAGAGGAGTGAGAGACGGACAGGGTCTGTGCAGCAAAGAGACAAGTAAAAGCAGAGTGAGGGAGAGGAGGAGAAAAGGATATGGTGTGGAAGAGAAAAGAACGGATTCGTCACTCTGCATTTATTTCCTGTGATCTGCAGGTCAGAGCGCCAACAGTGCAGCCAGGCTGAATTCAAAATGTGAAAGTGTGCCGTTTCATAAGCTCACTATTCTATGTAACAGCTGATAAAGACATCTGAGGCATTATTTCTCTAACAGGTCAAACTGATGTACGCAGAGAGAGCTGGAAATGTTCAATCATAGCTTCTAACATCAACGCCTAACACACGAGTGAACAATGTGTTACCTTAAAATTATTACTTAACACCTGGGCTCGCTGTGCCACTGAGTCGACTCCCTCCTCTGCTGTGTTCAAGGGCCGTACTGTTTTACCTATTTTAGCTCTTTCATATAAAAATTGTCTAAACTTCATGCCCAAACTTTTTAGATAATTTGTCTTTGTTCCAGGCAAGCCTGCAAGAACCACAATTGAGAAATGAAATAAGTTTGTTGTTTTCATCATCTGTTAAATATTTATTATTGTGTGCATCCGATTGTGCCATGATTATGTTTTATTGCACGAATACCTACAACTTTGTTCAATTTGCCCACATTAATGCAAAGATGATCTTAAGTCCATAGATTTACAATGGGACAAAAATCATCTTACAATGCTTTCGGGAATTTGGGCTGTGATCAACTGGTTAAAAGAGTGGAACAAAGATGTTTCTTGACCATTATGTACTACATACAGGAACAGAGGAAAAGAAAAGGTTGGTTTTCTTTTCCAAATGTGCTTAGCTGAGAGAATCTCACTTTTCTGGAAGGAAATTTAAGATTTGAATGGATCTTGAGAATATCTAATCATACAATCTGATTGCCATCCTTCCCCCAACCCAGCTTACATTCTCAATATATTGACATTGAAATAAAAATCAATGTGCAGATGTTTAAAACCCTGCTTCCAATCCATGAGTGTTTAGTCACCGAACATTTGTTTTCCATGTGCATGAAAATGATACATTTACAGTATCCTTTTCAAAATGGTTGTTTATCTTCTCGATAGTTTTTTTTGGCACAACAGCAGCCACAGTCTTTGTATCAAGTTCTTAAGATGAGAATCTTTCTTTTTTTTATGTACCCCTCCATCACCTTCTCCCAGCCATACAGTTCAACTGCAGCTCAGGTACAAAGATGAGCCTTTAAAGGCAAACCCCACTTTGACTATAGAGCACACAATATACAGTATATGTCATGTACCCAAAGAGTCTATAAGAGCTTACTTATAGGAGGGGTTGACTCATTGACAGCCGACTGAGCCCTCCTTATTCAACAGCCAACACACAAGACAGAGGTCACATGAATCTTGAACAATTGAACTAACATAAACACAGCCGGGAACCGTCTTCATTTCATTCTACTGTGAATATTTGGCTATAAGTCATCTCAGCCATACAGAGCACATGCTTTGCTTTAGCACGGTCTGTAAACATATTTAGTGTTCTGTATATTCCAGTTCATAAAAGGGGGCACTGAGCCAACCACAAAGTCTGACTGATTTTCTTGTATTTTGCAAGTTAAATAATACCTTCACTTCATCTTGGTGACCTAGTTTATCAGCTAAAAACGTAGCATTGTTATTGACACAGCTTCTGTCTCTGTGTACAGAAGATAACAACAATATGAAGCAGCCACATGAAACCACATTATGTATTGTGAGAATGCGTCTTATTTACCTTGCGTAACAGTGATGACATTCATGTGTGCATCTTGAAAGGGGGATTGAGTTCATAAGAGGAAGCAGGTGCACTGATTTTTTTGTTGGGTTCTCTGCATTAAGAAATGACAGCAATGTGTCTCTTGATTTAATGTAATATTTTGTCTTTCTTTCTTACTGCATCTTCTTGCAGGTGTACAAGTCCATTTGTCGTTTGCATGATGTGTATTTTACAAAGACAACGGTTTCATGCCACAATGTGTTATTATGTTATTTGTTCTCCTTTTCTTCCCACACCGCCTGCCTTTATTGTCTGATTTTGTTTTGGGGACACAGACACATTTAATGGAGATAAATCAGCATGATAATAACACACTTGTTGCATCAAAACCCTGCATTCCTAGAGAATTTGTATTGGTCAAGTACAGTTGTGGTGTCATAGTCACCAAAGATTAACATGAAAGGGAAATAAACTGCACAGTGTCCTCGATTCAAGACTGTTGACTCAGCAACGGCCTGTGGGACATTGAGCAATTGGGTGTGGTACTGAGGTGAGTCCATTCATGCGTGTAAATATACATATTTACTCACCATCAAACACACACACACACACACACACACACACACACACACACACACACACAGACAGGATGCAGGGCACTGGTGTTGCATAATGTCTCAACCAGATATGATAACATTTCAAATTTAGTCTCATTAAAATGAAATGACGAGACATTTTACAGAAATAGTCGTGTGTGACAATGAGGAATTATCAATTGTCACTAAAAACAAGTGAATTATTCTCACTGCAGTTATTGTTTGATTCACTATCAAAACCAGACATAAAGTCAACATTTTTGTAATTATTAGAAAGCAAAAAATTGACATTTATTTATAATGCCGCGGTGGTGAACTTGTGAAGATATCCGTAGCTGCTGGCGACTCTCTCGTCAGTTACATAATTCATTTTTTAGAGGTTGTTGTAGCCATGACTACTGTAATGTGTGCTCCCACTTTAAGTTGTACTCACTACCATCACGGATTTTGCAGAGGGTTGCAGTAACCATGGTAACAGGAGCCTTCAAAAGAGGGGAGTAAAAAACCAAGGAATTTCCACAGAGAGGGGCATACATTAAAAATAGCTAAAAGGCCACGGGGCAAAGGGAGCACACATTTAGAAAGACTTTGAAACACACTCCTGGAACACACTCTTCCCTCATAGCTACACTCCTCCAAACCCCCGAACCCTAACACCACTGGGTATACGTGAGGTCACGTCGAAAATGGCCGATTTAATATGCCAAAAAAAAGTGCAGAACAACCTCCAGCCATGATACTCACAACAACAGGCAGCAACAAAAATTTGCAATTATGGAACCTTCTTCCCCTGCTAATAGAAGGGTCTGGATCATCAGACTGAAACCAGCTCTAATATAACTCTGCACCTCACTTTTTTGATGGGAAATTTAAATTATCTAACGGCAAGTCTATAACAAAACAAATGAGCACACACACACACACACACACACACACACACACACACACACACACACACACACACACACACACACACACACACACAATCCTGTAGGTCCTGGAGGTTGAGGGCAATATCCCTGGAGAATGACCACTTTGATCTGACACATCGAAACTTAAAACCCTGACTTTTGACCTCACGGCCTTCATCTGGGACTGAGTTGTAAGCCATCTTTGGTGTAATTCGACAAAGCAGGTCATTACATCCCAGGGGACAATGCAGAGACACCTTATCTCCCATGTTGTAAAGTCTGTTCATCTTTGATTAAGAAAGACTGAATATATGAGAAGAACATGCTTCATTCACCCAGCTTTGATAAAGGTATATCATGTAAGTAATTTCAGGGGAAGCGACTGGATGAAAAAAAAAAAATGAAAAATTTCAAACAGTGGTCTGGCAGCAAGGAACATGAGCAAGAGACAATGTCCTTACAGAAGATTCAGAGCAGGCAAAGCAAAGTGCAAGAATTTGAATCATCACGTG